TGCGTATCCATGGCCGGCTAGTTATTTGGATACACAAAAGTTACGCAAATTCAATATCGATGTTATGCTGATAGAAATCTGGATCAATTTGTGATCAACTCTGATTGTTTTGTTTCCTAATTAAGTGAGGAAATTTTAATTGACAGCACCGACAAATGAATATATACGCAAACAAATTTTCGGTTATGGTTAAAACAGTTCAAGTTTTTGTATTTAATTTGTGGTTTGAAATTTATTTTTTCCTTTTTAGTAGGGTTTTTTGCACATTATCTTTTCCGTGAGAATTTATCGTAATAGATACGGATCTGAATAAGCGACTGGAACTCGGCTGTTTGTCAAAAGCATACGATTACGAACTCGCGTAAATGTACATTTGCTAAATGCTCGAAAGTGCTAAATGTTCGAAAGTGCTAAATGTTGTTAAATGCAGCAAAAACATTGCATAAGTGTTAAGTGCTTTTTTTATATGAAAATTTGCTAGTGAAACTGCAAAGAATTTAACAACAAACTAGTTATATACTGTTACTAATAACGTGAAGAGTGATAAATAATGTAAATATATACGATTATTAATATAGCCGATAAGTTTCATTAAAAAAAATCGTGATAGTTTTGTGAAAACAGCCAAAAACCATTGTAATGAAAAGCCAACCTACGAAAACATCTAAATACCAATATGCATTAATTTCGTGCATTTATTTATGTGATTTTAGTGTTAACAAAGTTGACCTGAACGAAACGGTTTTTGCCAATAATATTTCAACGATTTTACGAATACAATTTCCGCCTTCTTATCGTGTGATACCCCTTTTCGGCTATTTTGGGTCAATTTTTGGTGGGCCCGCTAAAGTGCACAATTACTATTTTGTCTACACATTTCTAAATGTGAGTACATGTTTGTCGGTGTATCATCGCTATTAGTTGTGTTTAATGAGCTGCGCTAGGTTACGCCAGGTCAAGATATCTCACAAAGTTGTGTTTCATGAGGATTTTTCTTGGTATAACCTACTCTAGTTTTTGTTTCATGAGCCTCCGCTAAGTTGAACTAGAGCAACTTAGAGCACAATCAGCATCAGCTTATTTGATGGAGTAACTTAGAGCAAGCAACCGTTTTGAGAATTTCTGCCTGAAAAGTGTTTCATGAGATTTGTGAACTGAGTTGCTCTAACTTGCTATATTGTTTTTTTTTGACATCTGCTCGATTCTGCTCTAACTTAAGCTGCTCTGAACTTTTTTCGGTCTCATTAAACACAACTATTATTTTTCGCCTTCCAAGAATCTGGCAATACCTATACCTAGGATTCGTCCGATACCATCATGTACTCGATGCCTGCACTCATTTAAAGTATCGAAGAGAATACTCGATGCTTCTCAAAGTATCGCTACGAAATAGCCGATTCTACTTGTATTCGAAAGTACTCACAAAAGAAATTTTAATTCAATCCTTTATATTAGGGCTGCCAGACGTCCCGGTTTTCCCGGACATGTCCCGGTTTTAGACTATTTGTCCCGGTGTCCCGGTAAAACCGTAAAATGTCCCGGGTTTCGTTTTAGTGTCCCGGTTTTTGATTTGATTGCACAAATTTTAATAAAAGTTCAAAAATCACTACCCTAAGAGAAAAAACGCGTTGTAATATTCAGAAAAATGTTATGAATTCAATGAGGGAAATAGCGCATAGTAAACATGAATATTTTCTATTTGATTATCGTTTAAAAATATTTGTAATTAAAAATAATACTTTCATAACACGCACGCGTGGTGTTGATTCAAACTCAACATTTAAATGCACATTTACATGTCTGGCTGTAGCTGAGTGCGCGAAGATGCTTGCCACAATTTGCTAATTTCCAAAGGGTCAGGGTTCAATTCCCATTACAACCAGCATGGAATTTAAATATTTTTTTAACTTAATTATGAAAAAGCAATCGGTAATTGCAAATCGCTTCATTTTAATATGGGCGTATTTGAATTGAATATTTCTATACTAAATACTAAAATTTGTATTCTTAAATGTATTACGAGTTGGGTTGGTGCTCTTTCATATGCGTATTTTTTAATTTAGCAGGCTTTTGATGTATATACATCTTTGGTTTGGGTAGGGGTAAAATTTGCGAAGCTGTAACGCATATCCCAGCACAAAATGTCGAAGGGCTTAGCATGTGTATTTCAGCGTAAAATTTTTATTTTCATTAGAAGCACCCTGGGCTTGCTTGCCAAATGGTTGCATACATTTAGGCATATGTATAGTAAGAGGAAATGCGCTTCAATTGATTATTACTTCCGATTATTTAAACTCCGCACATGCATACGGCTTTGTACCTATGTATGTACATAAATATGTATGGACTCATTTGTTGCAACTGGGCATGAATCACGTAACTTTGAAACGATAGTCGTTCAAACGATACTGACAAAACGATGTTGTCAAAACACTGATTTATGCATTTGTGTTACGGTTACGTGTTAATAGCCGTCATCGCTTCGCCACTTCGCTGCTTGCTATGTTTGAGTTCCGGTCGCTTAACGAAAAATTTTGCATGTGAAAGCAACAACAAAGTTAGCTAGCACGGATAGACGATAGCGAGTTTGGTTGTACCTCATTGTATTCGTTCGTTTCGCCACTCGCTAACTGTTGGCGAATCAATGACGGCTACTGTTACTGTTACGTGAAGCAAAACTGGAATCGAGTTGACGATATCACACAAACGATCAAACAATTTTTGATTTTTATGAAGCAAGACAATCTCGACACGATATCGTTCAGACGAATGTCGTCATACGTGATTCATGCCCTGTAGTGGGATTCGCCATTCTATTTTAACGATTATCGAATCGTTAAGAAAACTTAACGACGATTTTAACGATTTGACAATTCGCTAAACATATTTTAACGATATTCGCTATCGCTTGATCAGCTGTTGTCGTTAACTACTCGATTACTCGTTAAGTAAACGACGAATATTTTGAAGTTGTTAGCGGCATCGACAAAAGAAAATTTGATATTTCATTTGAGTTAAAATAAAATAATATAGATCGCGAATTTACTTAAGTAATATATAAAAGAAAAAGTTTTTGTTAAAAATGGCATTTGAGTATTTGGCAGACGTTTTATCCCAAGATGAGGAGATAATAAGCTCTTCATCAGTGGATAGACGTTTGCTTCGAGAAGTGGACAACCCTTTCGACTTGGCTGCAACTGAGTTTCGTAACCTTTACCGATTAACCCCAGACTTGGTTGAAGATATTGTTTCCCAGCTTGATAGCCAATTAAGGGGTCGAAGAATAACTGCGATAACGACAGAGAAACAGGTAAATAATGTAATTTTCAAGTATTTTTCAATTTTAAATGATTTTGTAAATTTTAAAGGTTCTAACTGCCTTGCGATTCTTCGCAACTGGCTGTTATCAACGTCCAGTCGGAGAGCAATGGGGGATATTCATGAGCCAGTCGTCCGTAAGTCGCTGTATACATCGCGTAACGGATGCAATAAACCGCACCATGTTTTTGGCAAAGGTTAGGTTTCCAATGACCCAAATAGAGCGGCAAGCTGCAAAAGAAATTTTCGCCTCAGCATCCGCACCATTTGTAGGAGGTACTATTGGGGCTATCGATTGCACTCATGTGTCAATCATGAGCCCAAAAGAATCATGAAGAAGCGTATGTCAACCACCATGGATACCATTCTATCAATGTGCAAATGGTAATAGTAAAATTTGCTCAAGGGTTAAACTACTGAGTATTAATTTTATTTTATACAAATATAGATATGTGATCCAAATCTAAAGATTTTGGCTGTCAATGCTAAATACCCAGGAGCGCGACACGATTAATTTATTTGGAGCTCCTCTGCAGTCCGGAGAGTTATGCAGCGAAGTTTTGAAAATGGAAACCATAACGTGTTTTTGATTGGTAACTTTTTAAATCCACTGAAACTTATTTATTAAAATCAATTTAATTGAAAATGTCCAATATATATTTGCAGGTGACTCAGGATATCCTTTGGAGCCGTGGTTGATGACTCCTCTACCAAACCAACCAGAAGGGAGTCCTAAATTCCGCTACAATGAGGCATTGTGCAAAGCTCGAAACCCAGTCGAGAGACTTTTTGGCGTTCTCAAAGGAACTTGGCGATGCTTATCTCAGCAAAGGACTCTTTTGTATGATCCTGGATTTACTGGAAAAGTAGTAAATGCTTGCACAGTGTTGCATAACTTGCGATTGGGTGACCAAACATACGATCCCGAGACTGAGTTCCTAGAGCCAAGGACACATAGCAGTAATGTAAATCAAGACGTGTCGTCTTCAACAGCAAAACGCGTCCAAGACCGGCTAATTGCAAATTATTTTACATGAATAAAACGTTGATTAATAAAAATTCAGAAGGAGTACAATAAAATTATTTTGGCATTTTATTAAACATTTTTATGTACATAAATAAAAACTCAGTCTTATTTTGTCTTTAATTTAAGTAAATTTTTTTTAGGTCTAGAATTATATATATAAATATTCATTTAATATAGGGTCCATCAAAAGACAGATCTCAGTATGTAATCACAGATCAGTTTCTATAATATGATATGGTGTGGCACGTTCAAGTTACAGGCGCATCACAAAATTAAAACAAAAATTCACAAAATTAAATTTCATTACTTATTGTATATAAGAAATATATGTGGTATATCTTACATGCAGTAAGTACAGTATACCTCTCTATCAACTAAATTTGTAAACATTGAATTCATTTGAAAATCAAAAGAACTTCAAATAACTCGCTTATTAAAAACAAATAAAGATCAATTCAAATATGTAAAAATTCATCTTCGAATATCTTTAAAAGTTATTCTAAATGTAAAAAGTTACCTTCATGATATGTCGAATTAAAACTTAACTCTAACATAAATACAAAAAAAATGAACTTCATGCTCTATCAAATGAAAACTTAACTCTAACATAAATATAAAAACAAAAAAGAACTTGAACTTATATTTAAAACGCTTAAAACTAATATAAATATTAAAACAAAAAATACTTCAAAAACTACATATTTACACAATATTTACATGCGGTAGATAGCGTTTCTTAAATTATTAAAGGCATCCGCACATGCCTTTAAACCTTCCCCCATTGTGGTCATAGCTTCGGCCAACGATTTCGCTACCTGCACACTCGCCGTACTTGTTTCAGCTAACAACTGTTGAAAGGGCATACGAATGTAATACTATTTTTTAGTATATACAAAAAATTACCTTCAAAGCATCTGCTTGTCTACTTGCTATTTGTACATTCGCTGCACTCGACTCTGCTAGCATCTGTTGAAAAAGAACCGAAAAAACTATGTCATGATATTTTACTTATGTAAAGTTACAAATAAGTAAATTACTTTTAAGGCATTTGCTTGGGTCTGAGCGATTTCCAAAAACGATTTTTGGGCCTCGGTACCACCGTCCACACGCCTTCTTTTGGCTCCTCTACGTGGCGTTTTTCCTGCAGGAGTTACAGGAGTCGATGTGCACATCTCAATGCTCACTTCGTGAGAAATAGATGGCATCTCGATGATTACACTTTCATCACCCTCTTCCATACGCAGTTGGAGTTCCTAATGATGAGAAGAATTGTTAACTGCTGTGCTATTCATAACTATTTATTTGCTTTTTACCTCTTCCACTGGCACACTTTCAGCAACAGTTTCATGGCCCTGCACATAGTCGCTACCGACAAGAGCAATCACACGCCTCTCAAGCTCAGTGGGTGGCTCTTCATTAATGGGATTGTTTCCCGTCATTGCCTGCTTTCGTTTCCTATCACGCACCTTAATGCTAGTACGGCTCTTCAAATCCCTCCATAACTATTTGCAAAACAAAATTTTAAACGTGGTATTAAATTACTAAACAACTTTTACATACTGTGCGCCATTGGTCGACGTTCTTCACCGAACCACCAAGGCTATTCAGCATTGACGTTAGTTCACTCCACTTCTTGTCGCAGTCCGATTTTCCATGAAGCTTCTGGAACCTTGATCCTGCCAATCCCGGCGTTTCCGTCAAAAAGTCCACCATGCGACTTAGTTGTTCTGCTGTGGTCCGGCTTCTCTTTTGAATATTGGGTACTGACGAAGCCATTCTATAATATGCGAAAATGGTTATGTCTAATAATACAAAATAAATAAACGTTTTATTTTACTTACTTTTTGTAAAAGTATATTAAAATATTCAGAAATCTATGTGTATACCACTATGCAAGCAAAGAATTTATTTGTTTTTCGTCATTCTTCTTTGTGCTTTTCGCATTTTTTTTGACGTTTCGTTAAGCTGTGATGCCACCTTTCTTGTATTGAAATAAAAAGAAAATGTCAGCTGTTTAGTGTCGTTAAAAAAGAGTTACCGAATAACACAATCGTTACTGCAAACCACAAAAATCGTTATATTAGACCTCGACAAATCGTATCGTTAAAAGTTAGTGAATTGCACTACTGGTTTTGATATTCGTAGATGGTTTTAGGCATAGGTTTAGTAGTCTATTTTGGTAAATTTAGGAATATACACAAATAGAAGTGCTCAAACTATAAGCTCAAAAACAATAACTGATGCGGCGTTTCCAAGATATTTTAACGCCCTTGAGTCACAAGTATATACAAGTATATTTTATAAATCATACCGATAATTTCATGTATTAAAATAATTAAAAATGAAAATGAACAAAAAAATTAAGTCAGAAAAATGAGTAAAATTAAGTGAAATTAATGTTTAATTTCTAACCTAACCTACATTTTATGTATTTAACTGAATCGCTTAATAATAGCTTTACATATAAAAAGAGTATCCTAATTTTCGAGCTTAACTCCCTAATCTGTTATTAGAAAAAGAGATTAGCCATGCTAAATTATAATTAAAAATATCTCAGATTAAACCGATAACTTTTTGGTGTCCAACTTAGTTTTATCGATTATACTTGCGAAGAAGAGGAGGAACGTCAAATATTAAAGTAAACAAAAATTGACGGTAGTAAGGAAAATAGGTTTGTAAAGGTATTTTTAATAAAATATTCAGTTATAAATATATTTAAATGGCCTAATATGGCCTAATAAGGGACCACGGTGGCACAGAGAAGAAGTTTAACTTTTCCTCGAGTTGTGTGAATAACAAGCACAACCAATTTGACAGCTACCGAGCTTTGATTGAGATTATATTTATATGTAAACGTACTTTTATGCTTTGCCGTTCGCATATGTATACACATCAAATTTCATGAGTACCTAGTACTCACGCCTTTTTTTAACTTTAAACTTCTTCCTCTCAGTGCACCGGTTTAATTTGTGAAATAGTTACATTTCGAGATAGTTGAACTTTGCACAAGCAATAGTTGATGATTAGTATATGTACCTAAATACGCTCAAAATGACGTGCACAGAGTTTTACAATTATATTAAGGAAAAGACAGAAGTTTTGAAACAAGTTCACAGCAACGAAAAATATGACTGATATTTTAATGTTATCTTGTACTTAAATTTTTTTCTTTCATGAAACCTAGAGTACTTATAAGTACAGTGCCGTACAAAATTATTGGCTCGGAGGCTCTTTCATCAGATCACAATTTCTAATCAGAGCTTTTAGAAAAATTTTGACAATGTAGCTTCTGAGCCATTTAATAAAGTGAAAGTCTGAAGTTGCCAGCAAATTTGATAGATTTTTAGCATTTATTTTTTTTTGTCGACAGTGCCTTCCATATAAAAAGAATTATCGAACATAGTTTGTATGGAAGAAACTCTCAGTAAATACCAATACCAAAAGTCAACTAAAATTTAATGGGCCGCAAAACTTCATTTTAAAAATTTGTATAAAGTCTGATTAGGATGTTGCAAATTTGCATGCAAATTTATTGAATTTTCCCGATTTTAGAACAAAGTTTAACAATTTTATTTTTATGTTTTTTGATATATTTAGTATAAACTGTATTTTTTTATAAAGAATAAAAAAGGTTCATGCATTGTGAAAAATTCTCTGTGCTTTAGTTGTGATCAGTTGTTTTGTTTTGTTGGCGTACGTTGTAATGATCTCATGTTTTTATGTTTTGGTTTTTGTCTGTCAAAATAAAATTTCACTGCATCCTTTCGCACGTCGAAATGAAAGGGAAAAGAGCGGGAGGCCCTACCTAAAATGTCCCGGTTTGGCATTAGAGATATCTGGCAGCCCTACTTTATATCCTTCTTACTGGGAAGTGCTGAAATAGAAGATGTTAAGCAATGAGAAAGCTAAGTGTTTACTTGTGTTTGGCTGAATTTCTTTATTCATTCTGAACGTTTGGAATAAACTTTTTTGTTTACTTATTCTTCAGAACGTTCCTGATGATATGTTAACGTATATTTCAAACGTATTCTGTTTATTCCGGCTGTGAAATGGGATTATCCGGAATGTATAAAGAAACGAGCCTTTGATTCTTCGGTTTCTAAACGATCTTAGGGCTCTGTCACACGGTCAGTAATAATCACGATATTTGGATGTCCAATATTTATCGCGTCAGCATTTGCATAATTTTTTGTGCTGAAAGCTTATTATGACGCAAGAAAATATTTTTAGGGAAATCTTTAGCTATTTGTACTACGATTTAGGGGTGGGGCGGAGGGGGAGGGGGCGTGGCCGAAGAAGGGGGGCTGAACACCTTTTGCAGAGAAAACCTTTCTGTGTGACCGCCCCAGTGATGTAACCTTGGGAAAGGATGAGGTAACTAGAATTCCCTTTCTGTATGGTAAACCTGGGGCTACCGCCCCAGTGATGTCTATTTTGGTTACTGGGTGTTTTATAAAAATATCTTGTATATAAAAATGTAAATACAAATTTATAACAAAAATTTGCAACCGACATTATTGTTAAATCAGGGCACAGATTTAGTAAATTAAATTATTTTAATAAAGCGTGAACTGTTGTCTACAAGTGTGTGTAAAAGTTTTTTGATTCGATTCACGCGTTTGGGCACAGCGA